CAAAAAATATCAAGGGGTGATGGTTAGATTGTATATTGTTAGAGATTTTCATTGCTCGATAATTGTGTGGCACAAAGGTTAGTTGCCACTAATCAGCCCAGTTTTGGTGTTGTCCAGGTCTTGCTGCACACGGACAAAGACTGCTAGAGCATCTGAGGAATTGAGAATGGTGCTGAACATTGTGCAGGCAAACCTTACAGCCAATGTCTAGTAATCCAAAGGATCAGGTTGATGCTGTGGGGCATAGGTTTGAATCCCATCATGGCAGTGGGAATTTGAACTCATTTAATAAATCTGGAATTTAAAGTTAGTCTCGGAATGCTTACGGCTCTTGATTGATGGAGAAAGCATCTGTTTCACTGAAGCGTTTTAGGAAAGGAAATTTGCCATTCTTACCTGGTCTGCGACTTCAATCCCACAGCAATGTGGATGGCTCTTAACTGCCTTCTGAAATGAATTAGCAAACTACTAAAAATTTTGATTTTTCTGGAGTACTTTGGGAAATAACTTCACAAAGGCCGGTATCCCATTACCAAGTCACCCTTTATTTACATGTGGAAAGTCCTTGACACTGATCTAGCTCTCTCAGAGCTAGTTCTCAGAAGGAACAGAACCTGTGACACTCCTATTTATATTTATCAGCCAGGGCTCCTTGATTGAATCAGATTAAGAGCACCAATCAGGGAACTCATATTCTCTGAGGTCTATCTGGCTGACCTCATTATAATCATTCCATCCACTCTGAGTCCGAGGACATTGGCCAGTTCTTTGTTTTTGTAGCTCCTCCTGGGACGTTTTAGCACTGGGTCAGGTTCCTCTGACTGACTTGGATACGGGCAGTGTGTAACACACAGTAGCTCACTTCCTGTGCCTGAAGCATTTTGGAAGAAATTCATTCTTTTCTTCAGGTGGCAAAGGCATCGAGGTGGTGATGTCCACTGTGTCCATTTCAGATTCCAAGGTCTTTTTAATGCTAGATGGAGAGGGAGAACCACTGGTTCTGACAGTCTTGCTGACTGTTCCGAGGAGCCGGATGTGTTTTGCTCCCATTTGTGAGTTTGAAGCACTCATATGGTCTACATGCTTGATCAGGATCGTTGCACTTACCTGAACTTTATACATCACTGGACCTGACTTTGTGTCAACCATGTGTCTTACCCATGAAGGGCCATTCCCGTGATTTCTACACCAAACTTTGTCCCCTGAAGACAAGTGTCTCACTTAGCAGAGTCTTGTATCTGGCATTGGCATTCCTGATGTCGTTTTACATCTCCCAGTCACTTTATTTAAATGTGGAAAGTCCTTCACACTGATCCAGCTCCCTCAGGGCCAGCTCTCATTAAGGCAAGACGTCTGACATTCTTGTTTTTATCTGTCAGCCAGGGCTCCCTGCTTGGATCAGATTAACAGTCCTAATCAGGGAACTCATATTCTATGAGGTCCATATGGCTGACCTTGTTACAATCAATGCATTTAGATGATGAGGAACAAAACCAGATGTACCAACTACCATCAGCCTCAGCACCAAAATCTAAAAACTCAACTCTGTTGACCCTGCAAATTCTTCCTTACCTCTATGATTTTATGATTTGGGGCTAGTGCCAAAATTGGGAGAACTATCCCAAGACTGGTCAAGGAATAGCCTGACATAGCCATGCTCACAGAATCATACATTACAAAACAATGTCCCGGACACCACCATCACCATTCCTGAATATGTCCTGTCCCACCGACAGGACAGACCAGCTGGGGTGGAGGTACAGTGGTATACTGCCCAAGGGAGTCCTCAACATTAACTTCGGACCTCATGAAGTCTCAATGCATCAGATCAAACATGGGCAAATAAACTTCCTGTTGATTTCCAGGTACTATCTGTCTGCAGACATATCAGAACTTCTTCATATTGAAAACCAATGGTAAAGCAGTAAAAGAGGCAAGTGTACTGAATGTGCTCTGTGTTAGGGACTTCAATGCCTATCACTAAGAGTGGCTCTACTACTGACCAAGCTGGCTGAATCCTAAAGAACATAGCTGCTAGACCTTGCCTGCGACATGTGGTAAGAGAACCAGCAAGAAGGAAAAAAAATATTTGACATTGTCCTCACTGGTCAACCTTTGAAGATGTTCATGAGAGTACTAACAGAATGACCACCATACAGTCACTGTGGAGACAAGATCTGGACTTCACTTTGAGGACTCTCTCCAAAGTGTTGTTTAGCACTACTACTGTGCTAACTGGGACAAATTTGAAAAGGTCTAGCAATCCTAAACTGGGCATCCATGAAGTGCTGTGGGTCATCATCAGCAGCAGAATTGTATTCAACTGCAATCTATAATCTCATGGCCTGGCATAACCCCTACTCTACCATTACCTTCAAGCCAGGGGACCAACCAGATGGCGTACATCCAAGGCTTTTAAAGGAAGTGGCTATAGAGACAGTGGAGGCATTGGTCAAAATATTTCAAAGCTCACTAAATTCTAGGAGAGTTCCAACAAATTGGAAAACTGCTTATTTGTCACCTCTGTTCAAGAAGGAAGGGAGATAGAAACCAAGAAATTCTAGGTCAGTTAGCCTAACATCTGACAATGGGAAAATGCTAGAGTGCACTATTACAGAAGAAATAGCAGGCTGTTTAGAAAAAGCTTAACTCTATCGAACAGAATCAAGATTGATGACAGCATAAAATTACAATAGAATATTGATAGACTCAGTGACTGGGCAAAGATGTGGTAGATGGGTTTTAATGTAAGCAAGTGTGAATTTATCCAATTCAGACTAAAAAAGAATAAATCATGATACATTTTAAAAGGCACAAATTAAATACAGTGGTTGTCCAACGGGATTTGGGGATTCAGGTGCATAGCCCTTTAAAATGCCATAGATAGGTGCAGAAATTAGTAAAGAAGGCTAGTGGAACACTAGCCTTTGTATTTAAAGGGCTGGATTGTAGGAATGAAGACGTTATGCTGCAATTTTACAAAACCCTAGTTACACTCCACTTACACTGTGAGCAGATCTGGGTGCCACACCTTAAGAAGGATGTTTTGACCCTGGAGGGGGTTCTATGTAGGTTTATAAGGATGATAACTGGACTTTAAAGGTTAAATTATGATGAGAGATTATACAAATTCGGCCTTTATGCTCTAGAATTTAGAAGGTCAAGGGCTATTCTAAATGAGATCTTCAGAATATTAACAGGGAAAGACAGGGTAGATAATCTATTTCCACTGATTTCCACAGATTCTAGAACTAGGGGGCATAGTCTAATTAGGGCCAGGCTATTCAGGAGAGATTTTAGAAAGCAGTTCTACATGCAAAAAGTGGTGGAGGTTTGGAACAGTCTTCCTTACATGATGGCCAATGCTAATTCAATTGTTAGTTGACCCGAATTTAAATAGTGTCCTGATGTAGCTCCGTTTGTGGGTGTTGGGGTGGTTGCTAGTGTAATTGAGTATCTAGTCCATTTGTGTGGTCTTTCTATATATGCCATATATGGACCTGATACTCAATTACATGAACAACCATACCAACACCCACAAATGGAGCTGCATCAGGACACTATTTAAATGAGCCACAATACATTGCAGCAACCTGGAACTACGCAAAACAGAACAGGAGCACCTATACAGAGTCTTCAAAAGAAATGGATACTCGAAAAGCACAATCTGCCGTTACCTTCTAGACAGACCACAACAGGAAGACACAACATGACCAGACTCACTAATCACCCTACTGTACATCAAGGACATTTCAGAGATGATCACAAGGCTACTCAGATCCCTAGGTATCAGGCTGGCCCACAAACTGACAACCATCCTGTGACAGCTACTGGCAAACGTAAAGGATCCCGTACCCAAAACCAGCCAAACTGGGATAATATATAAAATACCATGTAAGGACTTTGAGAAACACTACATAGGCCAAACCGGAAGAAAACTGACTACACGAATACATGAACACCAACTAGCCACCAAGAGACATGACCAATTCTCACTTGTCTCACTACACGCAGACAACGAGGGGCATGAATTCAATTGGGACAACACATCTATAATCGCACAAGCCAAACAGAGACATGCCAGGGAATTCCTGGAGGCCTGGTATTCCAACTGGAACTTCATCAACAAACACATTGAAATAGAAGGGGGATAACAAGGTGTAGAGCTGGATGAACACAGCAGGCCAAGCAGCAGCCTTCCTGCTCCTTTGATGCTGCTTGGCCTGCTGTGTTCATCCAGCTCTACGCCTTGTTATCGCAGATTCTCCAGCATCTGCAGTTCCTACTATCTCTGAAATAGAAGGGGGTTTTTTCTGAAGAAGGGTCCAGACCCGAAACGTCAGCTTTCCTGCTCCTCTGTTGCCGCTTGGTCTGCTGTGTTCATCCAGCTCTACACCTTGTTATCATTGAATTAGAACCTGTGTACAAACCACTGAGAAACAAAACCGGAAGTAATAGCAATCACCCCAGCAAACCGAGGCATATAAATAACAAGCGGGACAGAACATCGACACTTCACCGGAGGTGCACCGACGATGTTACCTAACAGGGTGATGAAACATTTGCAAACAAACCCACTGGCTCGGCAAGCAAGTCTACAATCTCATCCACAACCCGAGCTACAAATCTTCTCGAAAACTTTAATGTTTTATGTCTATCTGATAAAGTGGGCGAGACTTTGGTTTCATACTTTATCTGAGCAACAACATCTCCAGTGTGCCCTAAACTCTCCACTAGAGTGTCAGCCTTGCTCTCTTTGTGCTCAAGTTTATGTTGAAAGACTTCAACCCAGAACCTTGTGAATCACAGGCAGAATGCTACCCACAGAGCCATGGCTTAAGACAGGACTAGGGACTGAGGGGGCCAGATAACAAGACTTTACTCAGCTATTAAATCAACCAGGTTGATACACGGAGCTCAATGCGCAGGGTCAATCCAAAGGATCAGCTTGTTGGATATTCAGATATTCCTGAGTTTCTCCTCTTTTGTCTATTTTACAGGTTACAGAACCAACCTCTGGCCAAGAAACTTATGAAATCAGTGGAAGAGTTCATTAAGACTTATCCATTCAATTTCCAAGGGGTGCAAATTATAACTGGACAAGAAGAGGGAGTGTTTGGATGGATTACCGTCAATTATCTAATGGAAAACATCGGGAAGGTATTTTTGAAAACACTAACCATTAAATGTTGCCTTGACCGTATTCCAACTGCACAGTATAAATACTCAGCTTTATCAGTTCAGAGTTTCTGTGTCACTTGACAGTCTGTCAATGATCTGAATGAGCCATTGAAAAACCACAGGCTGAAGCCCACAGGAGCTGTGGAATCTATGAACATTCATTGCCATTTATAGTTTCAGCTGTTTTTGGGCAAATTTCTGTGAACTTGTGGAATCAGTAATAAAGTCCATTGGAGTAGTGGGTCAGTAAAGGAAGGGCCAGTGAGGATGGGTCAATGAAGATGGGTCAGTGAGGAAGAGTCAGTGAGCGTGAGACACTGAGAGGGGTTGGTGAGGGAGAGTCGATGAGGGTAGATCAGTGGGGATAGATTAGTGAGGATAATTAAGTGATGAGGATCAGTCGGGGTGGGAGGGCAAATAGGACGTGATAAATGAGGAAGGGCCGATGAGAGGGTTCAGTGAGAGAGACTTTCTGGAATCACTGATAGTTGGTCAGTGAAGGTGGATTAGTGAGAGTGAGTTGGTGAGTGGGTCATAGAGGAAGAGGCAGTGACCATGAGTCACTGAGAGGGTTTGGTGAGGATGTGTCAGTGAGGGAGGATCAGTGAGAGATAGGTTCGTGAGGGAGGGGTTAGTGAGGGAGATGTCATTGAAGGAGGGGTTAGTGAGGGTGGGTCAGTGAGGGAGGATCAGTGAGTTTGGGACGGTGAGGGAGGGTCAGTGAGAGAGAGTCACTGAGAGTTGTCAGAGGGCGGTCAGTAAGCAAGAGTGAGTCACTGAGAGAGGCTCAGTGAGTGAGATGGGGACAAGTTAGGGAGGGATTTTGGGATCGGTGAGGGAGGTCATACACAAATACATAAAACCTGCTCAACCCACTAGTGAGGGATCTGTTGCCAGAGATGCTCACAATCATGGGGAAGGTGGTGGCAAGACAAAGATGAACAGTTCCAGCCCCTGGCCCAGTCTCAGCCTCAGTTCCAGTCCCTCGTTCTCCTGTCCCTTAGCCCAATCCTCAGCCGTAACCCCAGCTGAAATAATTTGTGTGTATTTGTGTTTGTGTATATCTGTGAGCATGTAAATGTGTACATGCATGTGTGGGAGTATCAGTGTGTGTGTATCCCATTAGAGAAAGATCTCCCTTTGTTGTTGTGTGTGAAGCAGGGATTGGGTTGTTTTGAATGATTATGCTATGGGGAGACATTATAAGCATATGGTTCTGTAATATTCAGCATATTCATCATGTTGTAACAATTGAATGAATTGAATGAGTGAAAATGTCAGGAATCAGTTGTGTTACTGCTTATAATGTTTATCTGTCTCAATCACTCCTTATCAACTTCATTAGAACAATGCAGGAGGAAACCCTGAAACACTGGGGGCACTGGACCTGGGCGGTGCCTCCACACAGATCACATTTGTGCCTGGTGGGAAGATTGAATCCGAGGAAAGTGCTCTGCACATCCGTCTGTATGGGAAGAGTTACAACATATATACACACAGCTACCTATGTTACGGAAAGGATCAGGCCCTGAAACTGCTGCTGGAAAAACTGAATGTAAGAAAGGACTGAGCACAGAATTTCCTTCCTGTCTAAGAGTGCCTAACCCTGACCAAACAGTGTTTGCAAACCCTGTGAAATCTGCTGCGTATGCGGGGTTAGAGAATCTTATTACACATACTGACTGGTTTAGTCCCCATACCAGCTGTGATAACTGAAGGTGACCTCCTACCTACCTATCTTGTCCCACACTTGTTACAGAGTGGTATCCCTCAGGCTATTGAAACAATTTTCTCTCTGTAATGAACAGTGAAGCAGGATCCTTTGTGAATTACAGCTAATCATCTATGTGGTCATATATGAACATACAAACATATGAACATGTGATTTAGGACCAGGAGTAGGCCATTTGGCCACTCAAGTCTTCTCCCCATTCAATAAAATCATGGCTGATCTGAATGTTCCATATTCCTCTTACCATCAATAACCTTTCACACCCTTGTTTACAAAGACTCACCTACCTCTGCCTTAAAAATATTTAAGGATTTTGCTTCCACTGCCTTTTGAGGAAAAGCGTTCCATAGGCTCACAACATTGAGATAAACATTTCTTAATCTCGTTGTAAAAATATATTTTCTTTATATTTAACATTTATCTGAAATCTACTGTTTAGTTCCAAATTTTCAGCTTTAGACGGGGTTTTGCAAGGTACGCACTGGAGGAACAATTGAAGTTAGATAATTAAGGAAAGTAGCTGAAACCTGTTTTTCTATAACTGTGGTCAGCTAGCTTTCTTGTTTCAGAAACGCATAAAGCCAGGCATCTCAGTGCAACTTAGCATCGAATGTAGCTTTGAACAGAGTGCTGGGAGTTTGGTAATTAGGGGAGTTAAGTTAGGAGGAGAAGAAGGCATTCTTTTACTTCTGCTTTGCTAACTTTTTGCACCCTCTAGGAATTGGTTCTTATTCCACTAAAGGTGAAGAAGCTTTAGGTAAGTATCTGGTAAGTCATTAAGATCTATTCTACTCCTAAAGTTTCTAAAATAGTTTTGGAACTAGTGGTAAGATTCATAAAATATGTAAGAAAGGAAATTAAATCTGATTTGTTCAGTTGTTAGGGACAGGAGAGTGTGACTGCAAGTAAGACAAGTAAAGGGACCCAGAGGGCAGTAATACAGGAGACTTGGCCTTTGCAATTGTCTAACATATTTAATTTTTATTTACCTTGTTTGGATGAAAGCAAGGCAGATGAGTTGACTGACTATGATACCATGTAATGGTAGTAAGGACAGTGTAGTTAGGAGAATTGACACTGTTTTCTGGACCAAAGAATGTGTGTCCAAGCACCTGTGGATCTGCCAGCACCAGGGTTTGGGACATCATCTCAGGTCTGGAGAGGAACTTTCAGTAGGAGGGAGAGGATCCAGTCACTATGGTTCATGAAGGTACCAATGGCAAAGGCAGGACAAGGAAAGAAGTTCTGTATACGCAGTATGAGAAGTTAGCCATCAAAGTAAAAACAGAACTCAAGTGTTACATTCTATGGATTATTACCTGAGCTATGAGCAAATTGGCATAGAGTGAATAAGATTAGTGAACTGATTGCATGGTTGTATTGTGTTAATTAGGAACCACGGAAGTCTATTCCAAAGTTGGTGGGTTCTGGTTTGTGGAACACTGGCATCATTGAATATAAAGAGAGATGGTTAGATTCTCCCTTGTTGGAAATGCACTTGAGTGCTGCAAATGTTACTTGCCACTTGTCAGATCAAGTCTGGATGTTGTCCAGGTCTTGCTGCATATGAACAAAGAGTTTCAGTATCTGAGGAGACTTCGAATGGCTGAAGAATTTTAGCTGCAGGGGATAGCCTGGGGTTATGTTAATTGGTAAAGAAAATGTTGAAGGGGAGATAAAATTACAAGGCACCCAAATAGAATGGATATGAAAGACCTACTTCTGTTGAAGCTGAGAGGTCAATAATGAGGGGCAGGAATTTAAAGTCATTGGCAAGAGGATTAGTGTTGGGAAGTGTATTTGTGTCTGTTGGTTAAAAGAGTCTTTTTTACCCATAAAGAAGGAAAAATTAGTACGAACAAGTAAATTTTGGAAATAAGGGGACTGGTGCAAACTGGAGAAATTCCGTAATATGGAACTACAGTTCATACCTTTTCCAAGGTTCACCAGTTTTTCCTTCTGTGGAGGTCTGGACCTCATTGTCTGAAACATGGAAAAGGCAGAAATCCTCATTAGATTTTAAAAAGGACACACTTGCTCTCAACTGCAGTAATCTCCAGAACAGGAATGCAAGATTGGCTGGTTAACTGATTTCCAGCTGGTCATGGACAAGCTGGGCTGAATGGCCTCCTACTGAATCATTAATTATCTATGTTTCCAAAGACATTTTTGCTGTTTCAAAATAAATTCATCAATTGATTTGTGATTAAAATGGTTTGAGTATAACAGGGACCTAATTAAGCCAGTTAACCCAACTTTGTGATCTGCAGTCATTCACTTCCAGTCCTTTGGATCAGAATGCTGTCATGTTGTGAAAATAGGAAGAATCTCCATGGGAAGAGTGAATCAATGCATCAAAGTCAGAAATGAATATTTTGAAACCACAGTTGTAAGAATAAAGAAGATGGGGATTTAATTTAAAAACTGCTGAAAAATTGAAGTCTTTAACATAGATCCTGAGACTTCTGACTTTTATAGTTGCTGTATAGTACTAATGTTGCATAGGAGCATATCTTGTTCATTGTGCCTGAGCTTCAAGTGAGTTCCATTTTTATTGGGAGGGTCAGCATCTTGTTAGAGTTTGGAAATCTTATCAGAGAGCATGGAAAGTTAATGATTATAATATCAGCATATTAATGTTGGAAAAGAAAAAAATAATAGTGCACTGCAGCACCTTCACAGAAGGAAACAATGTCCTATCATTATAATTGTGACTGCATTCAAAATTCTGCCATTCCCTGTAAAGTATTCTGAATGTCATGAGGTCATGAAAGGCATTTTGCAAAGTTGACTTCTTTCATGGATAGGAACCTCATTGCAGGTGCTCCCTGTAAAGTGATGGTGACATCATAAATCTGGCATCTTTGCAATTGTCTCATGAGGTTATTGATGTGTTGACCGAATTTGATATTGTCATGACAAATCTTTTATGTAGCCTTGGGGATAATGGCATTGTGCTGATGGTCTGCAATATAATTATCAGTAGTGTTATCATAATTGTGAATCATAGAATCCCTACAGTGTGGAAACAGGCCCTTCAGCCTAACAAGTCCACACAAATCCTTGGAACATCCCACCCAGACCCATCCCCCTATAACCCACCTAAGCTACACATCCCTGAACGCTATGGGCAATTCAGCATGGCCAATCCACCTAACTTGCACATCTTTGGACTGTGGGAGGAAACCGGAGCACCCGGAGGAAACCCACGCAGACATGGGGAGAATGTGCAAACTCCACACAGACAATCGCCCAAGTGTGGAATCGAACCCAGGTCCCTGGCGCTGTGAGGCAGCAGTGCTAACCACTGAGCCACCGTGCTGCCCGAAGGGACCTTCAGATAATATTACAAGTCTCATATAAAATCCTGGAGGCAGGATATGGTTTTCTTAATAAAACACGGTATTGTCCTCACTTATGAAGATGTGTTTGTAGAAACTGAGCAAGATAATGTTCTCAGAGTGTGATGATATCTAGAATGTCATAGGATGGTGATAGTGATCCTACAGAGAGTGACAGTGCCCTTACCAATCAAGATAATATGATCCTGAATGGTCACAGTTGCATCATATGAAAAGGTGCTTCTAACTATCACATTCCATGAAGTTTGTCTATGTTATGCATTTTTTGAAATGTTACTGTGGAAGGCTGTTTAATGCAGGTTTCTTCCAATTAGGAGGTCAGTAGTCAAACTTTCAAATGTACAACCTCCATAGACAAAGCATATAAGTGATGACTGAGGGTTTAATATGCCATGAAAGTTCCACTGGTCACTTGTTCTAATTTGAATGAGAGACTGGCAGACCCTATGGAACTGGGTCTCTACTGCTTCCCTTAGTCATCATCATGACTTGTGTTATGAAGTGTTACTGAGAAAAATATGTTGATTCTTAAGCTCCACTATTCCCAGGGTTACCAAGAAAGTAAATGATTTAATTAAAGCATGCAAAGTCCCAAATTTACCTGTCTGATAGAATTAAGTTAGCAGAAATCACAGGACCAGGTTCCTGTACTTAATGAGAACTACAGTTTTATTACAAATAAGTAAATTCTAATCACAAATATACAACTATGAACGATCAACACATGGCTTTACTAGTTAAAACTCTAACTCTTCTTAAAGCCTGAGACACATATGTGGACACCAACAAAAGAAAAGTCTGAGGGGTAAAGGAAAAACTACTTGGAAACACGGTTCAATAGCACCAGTCCATAGGGTTCATTCAGATGTTCATTTTACTTGTGAGGACTTCCTGTTTTTTAATCTACTTCCTTTGGGTTCTTTCAATTCTTTGTAGAAGGCAAAGAGCAATTGGTACACAACTACAAAATCTGTTAGTTATTGGTTAAAGACAACAGCTTACAGCAACTAGTGAGAGAAAGTAACTAGCTTTCCTCAGGCTTGAAATTGTTTTACTGCAGAGAGAGAGAGATAGAGAGACAGACACCACCTGCCTTTCCTGTATTCAAGCTATTTCGCCACCCAGGATTCACTTAGAGAGTTTGGTGTCAGGCTGATAACCTTTGGCGTTCATATAAAACCTATAAAATACTAAAAAGACTAGACAGGATAAATGCAGAAAGGATGTTCCTGATGACAGGGGAGTCCAGAGGTCACAATCTAAGGACATAGGATAGGCCATTTAGGACTGAGATGAGGAGATATTTATTAACCCAGAGAGTGGTGAGTCTGTGGCTCAGAACATTTGAGGCCAGAACATTGAATGTTTTAAAGAAGAAAATAGTTAGATCATAGATCATAGAATCCTTAGTGTGGGAACAGACCCTTCGGTCCAACAAGGCCACACTGACCCTCAGACATC